GCAGCTAATTGTTGTATTAAGACGTCACATTAAAACCAAGATAAGAACAAATAAACAAAAATATTTAAAATTCAAAATAAAACGCATTTTTTTCCATGTCACAGACCAAAGCTGATAGATACGTATGCATTCATGTTGATGCCGGTTTGCGTGATAAAGAGGATAACGTGTGCTTTTTAAAATTCAAAAGAAACCGAATTTTTGTCATCAGATAGCTGCGAATGTTAATGTAATAGACAAAAGCTGATAGATACGTTTGCAGATTTGTATTAAATTGGGAGTGCTTCCCATATTTGTGGCTGGCGTGAGTTCAATGAGTTCCAACATATATTTGTGCAGATAGCGTGTGCGAGTGGCAGACAAAGGCTTTATGTTACGAGAGATGTAATGCTTGTATTTGGCGCGTATTTGAATTTGAATTTGAATTCACTTACGTTATTCTTCTACTCTATTGCCCATTTTTCAAGAAATCAATATGGTATATATATTTCAATATCATTTTGTGTCATGAGCACTAGCACAATTAAAGTGCATTCATTACATCACTATTGCAATGTCATGTCAATCTTCGTTAAGAGGTTCTTATGTGGAAGGTGCTCTTGATGTAGTAACAAGCATATTGTTATCTATATTCGCCCCATAAGTAAAGTTAGCCTTACATTCACATTCACATTCGCATCGGTGGATGGTGTTTGTCCAACCGCAGCAAAGCGTTCGGTTGACGTTGCTGCCACGCCCCTATCGTTTAGTGACATTCTCCGCCTGATAGGCAATTGATTAGCTGATAGGCGGCACACGTTTTTCAATCACATTCAATTAAAATTGTTTGTGTACTTCTTGTCATTTAAGTGTTATTGTATTTGAAAATCATTAAAGTGTTTGCCATGAGGAAGTACCTTGTATAATTCATGATAATCATGTTGCTTTAAAAGTTATTTTATTAATTGGATAGCTAAATTGTGGATAAATATATTTGCATATTTGCAATGATAAAGATGCTCCTCAAGACATTGCTCTGGCATTCAGCTGGTTCTTGGATGTTTAGCTTAAGTCTGAGCTTGACAAAAATATATACATAAAACTGTGTTTGTCATGAGGTGGTTCCTTGTAAAGCTCGTGATATTTATATTACATTTTTCTAATAATATTCTTTGCTCATAGATAAATTGTGCTAGCTTAAGCAAGAGGTAAAGTTATTAAAATTAAAATAGAATAGTTGAAGGAAATATCAAAACTATATTGAAATACTTAAATCAATTTCTGACAGTATTCCACATTTGTTTGCATATTAAAGGGTATTCACTTGTCGATTTGGCTTGTTGTTTATATTTATTCATGTTTCTTTTCTAATTGCTGATAATTTTTGCGTTTCGCTAATGGGGAATACCCATATAGGAATATGTATTAGACTTGCTTCGATACGATCGTCTGCCCCTCCCTCTCTCTCTTCAAAATATAAGATTGAATTTTTGGTAGCTCCTGATAATTATTGTGTTTTGCCAATGTGGAATATCCGTATATACGTATTGGAGCTGGTTCGATATGGTCGTCTCTTTCTCTAGCTCTCTTTCTATCTCTGAAAATAGAATCTAATCTAAGCAGCCCCTAAATGCGCTAAGCTATTTGTTTTCTCATGTAGCTCTATACCATATTATTAGCTACATCTGCTTCTTTCTCTCTCCCTCTCGGCCGACACCCAATCAGCTCGTTGCAGTTTGGGAGCCATATCTACCTATTAATCTTATCAGAGATTTCGCCGATGCGTAGTTGCATTTGTTAAGTGCAAGTGGATCAAATGCTGACTCAATTACAACAGCTGATTGGCTCGGCTCAATGGACTTAATCTACTAAAAGCCAAATGTCCATTGTTTACCCTTAAATGCACTTCAAATGACTTCATACTTCACTGACTTTCTTTATTATTATGTAGAGTGGGGTAACCCCTCGTAAAATCTTGCTTAAACCTGAAAGCTAAATTTCTCTTTAAATATTCTCTCGGAGCACAATAAATTTAAATCCGTTTCAGTTGGTAGTTAACAATCGACGGGAATCCTATATAAATTTACAGTGTGAGGTCTTCGTGTCGGACTTCCTACACTCAGAAACCGATTCTTGGTCGTGTTTACTTACAAAGAACAGTCTGCCCGTTTGTTGAATCATAGCATGTCCATATTGTTTCGATTATGCAAGCCTACTACACTGAGTCCGATAAAGGGCCTTACGTCACGCTGCTAGAGGGCAATAAATGTCTGACTCGAACGCACTTGAAATGCCTTTTATTCATGCCCACCACGACTATTATTGTTGTTACATCAAATGCTGCCCAAAGTATTGAGCTTAACCTTTTCCCAGGCGATAGAGAGTCGAGCGTAATTGTCCTTGAATTATTGTTCAATTGATGACTTGCTGGGCTCTTAAACTATGTAGGCTATTGTCCTGGGCATAAGCAGGGGAATGGGAATTGTATGTATGTACATATAATAATAATTATCAATTGGCATTACTTGATTCGATTGCTATACAGTCACTTGAGTCTACAAGTTTATAGACTACTTTATTGGGTGGTAGGGGACTTTATTGAGCAAGCCTCTTAGAGAATAAGGTGGTAAGGAGGTAAGGAAATAAGGGGATAAAGGAGTAGGGCGGTAAAGTGGTAAGGGGGTAAGGAAATAAGGGGGTAAGTTGAGAAGGGGATAAGGGACTATGGTAAAGGTAAAGGAGTACGGAAACAAGAGGTTAAGTTGATAAGAGGATAAAGTGGTAAGGGAGTAAGGATGTAAGGACATAAATACATCAATGGGTAAAGGGGTAAGGCGTTCAATTAGTTAGCCGATAATTTACTAGGAGGTAAGGCCTCTGGCAATTATGTTCTACTGCTACTACTTCACGTTCGGGTAACTTACCAACTGCTGTCAACTCTGTTCACTTCCCAAATATGTTCGTAGGTAATTGAAAACGATAGTCTGTGATTACCCGATTAGGCTATAGATACCTGTTAGGCTTGAGGGTAAGACTTGTGTCAGCTAACTTATCAGCTGTTATTTGTCCATTTTCCCCAATCAAGTTCGATTTGTGATTTCTTGATATATACTCATAGACGTTTCATATTTATTTGTTAACTTTTGTTTGCTTTATTGTTATTTGTTGTTGCTGTTCGCCATTGAAAATGCCGCATTCCATTTGGCTAAGGCTAAGTACTTAACACATCACAGATTGCATTGTCACGAGCTGACTCCACTCACTTCTTCAGGAAGACCTCGTGCAGCTCCACGTCCTTCAGATTGCTAACGGCCGCCGCTGAGGCTCGCTGCGCCCGTCTGCCGCGTCGACCCATGCGCCAATGCTCCTCGATTTCGATGAGGGTGCGCCCGCGCGTCTCTGGCACACAGATGTAGATGAAGACGGCGGCCAGGAACGATACAGCCGCATAGAAGGCAAACAGATTCGATGTGCCGAGCAGCGCCTCCATATTCGGATAGATCTTCAGGCAGATGAAGGCCAGGATCATGCCAAAGAAGACGGAAATGCCGGACGCACTGCCGCGCACACTCTGCGGAAATACCTCCGATATCATGATGAAGGGCAGCGTCAGCATGCCCATTGTCGAGAACACAATGTGCGCCACAATGCAGACAACTGGCAGCCAGGACCAGGTGCCCACTGTGCTGGGACACCAGCCGCCGGTGGCTAAGAAGAGCATGCAAATGCCCATGCCGGAGGCCGAGAAGATGCCCGCCGCCCGTCTGCCCCACTTCTCGAAGATGGTGCTCATAAAGAAGGTGGTTATGATGCGTGCCACGCCCAGCATGACAGCCACCAGCACTGGATCGATGGTAACGCCGGCTCGCTGGGCGATCTGCACCGCATACACTATGATGACCACAACGCCGCAGGCCTGCTGGAACCCAAAGAAGCCGATCATCATAAGCAGAGGCTTATAGACCTCCGGACGGCGAATGGCCTGGCTCATGGATTCGCTGGCTGCCGTGTCACGGCTGTTGTCCGCCGTCATTTTCATCTGTGTCAGCTCCGCCTCAAACTCCGGCACGCAGTCGTCATCTGAGTGGATAAAGGATGCAATTAATACTGGTCTCATGCTCAGCTATCGATTGAATTACCTCGGCGGTGCAGTCCGCGGAAATAGCGCAGCGATCGACGCGCCAGCTCGATGCGACCCTTCTGCAGCAGCCAGCTAGGCGATTCCGGCATTGGCATCACCAGCAGCGTGGCGGCCAGCTGATAGCCGCAGCTGATGCTGGCAATGAGCACCACATTATGCCGTATGAAATAGCCCAGCAGATACATCAGCAATATGCCCGATGCCAGGCCAATTGAGGTGCCCAGGATCAGACGGCCTCGGATGCGCGGCAAACTGATCTCGGCCGAGTAGACGCCCACCGGCGACACAAACATACCAATCATCATGCCGCCAAAGGCACGCCCCACCAGTATCTGGGCGTAAATGATATCCCGATTCGTGTGCAGGAAACTTGTCGCCAGCAACAGCCAGCCAATCAGACCGATCACATTTGTCAGCAGAATCGTATACTTGCGTCCGATGCGGTCTAGAAAGTAGCTGACCATCAGGCCACCCAGGGGACAGGTCATGTTGTTGATGGAGGCTGTGCGGCGGAAGAAGTTGAAGATTGTTTATCAAGAGGTTGTCGGACCGAAAGACAGGAAGAGAGGTACGGAAGATCTCTCGGAAAAACTAATTTAAAACATAGTTTAGCTGTAGGAAAGGCCCAAGGGCACACTTTGAGACTATGAACAATCCTATCGTAATTAAGCGGAAAAAGTAGCCAAAATCTTGTTTGTCTTGAAGCTTAAGATTACGGCAAGCTAAGAAAAGAAAAACTATTAAAGATAATTAAAGATGAGAGTGAAATGAGATCATATCTTTATAATTTAGTTTAATTAAAATGCATACAAAATAAATAGGTGAAGATCAATTAAGGTTAAATAGCGCAGATTGTGCTTTAAGAAGATAAGGCAATAAACAGCAAGATTTCAGATAAGATAAGATAATGAAATARTTGAGTATTGATAAGCGTAAGAAAATTCAGTGAATGAACAAATAACAAGAGTTGAGATCAGCTTAACCAAACAAGGGAACAAGTTCGATACTAACCAGAAAATATCTTGAAATTGCCTTAATAAACAAGGCTATCAATGCAAATATGAAAAGGTAGATGCTGGCAAGCTCTCAAGGATATTAAAATAGACCAGACATAGGATTAAGTGATAGGCAATTCTGAGAGTACCAGAAGTCTAACAAGGCTGTAGAGCTCCATTAACCTTTCTAACTAAATACAAAAGACAAGAGATTTGCAGACTCTCAGTTATATCAGGAATACAAAGATTCGCGATTGCAACGTTTTACTCTAAACAGTTAAGCTTTAGGAAGCTTAGGAAGTATCAGAAAGCTCAGATAGCTCAGAAATCTCTTGACAAACTCTGATAATTAAGCATCAGCCGTCACAGGAAAACATTTATCTGTTTTATTAAATATTTTTTGCCCATAGAAACTTCAGTACTCCAATAAATCTATAGGAATCTATGGAATTTTAGAGCTTTTAGAAATATCTTGGCAGAGTCTGTAATCTTGAAAACCTTCAGAACTTTAAAGTATGTAATTTCATTTAGTAGTCCAAGAGACCTTTGGAAATCTCTGAAATCTCTGTCCATCTCCCACAAAGGAAGGGAATTACGATTCAGACTATTTTCTCCAATACTCTCTCACCCGTTGGGTACTCACCAAACCAGCTGGCCTCGTCCTTGTTCAGCCAGAATGGTTGCGTTTCATCCGTCAGCTGATTGAGCGTAACGCTGGGCATACTGACAACCATGCCGGAGCCGAGTACGCCGCTGTTGCCCAGGAAGACCATCAGCTCCTGCCGCAGGACGGCCAAGTGGCGTTCCCCTAGGGGCAGGCTGCTCTCTTTACGCTTACGCGATTTGCTCTGTTTGCTATTGCTGTGTTTGTCGCTGTCGTTGTCCTTGTCGCCGTCCTTGCTGTTGTTGTTGTTCGTTGTGGCTTGCAGGTTGCTTTTGTCGAGATCCTTGCAGATGATGCCCTTGCCGGTTTCATAGGGCGGCGGCATCAGCTGTTCCTGCTCCAGAGTCATTTTGTTGTGCACTTGTYGTTGTTGCTATTATTATTATTATTATTATTGTTGTTGTTGTTGTTGTTGCTATTGTTGTTATTGTTGTTATCAGTGTGCTGCTGTTGTCTGGTTTATCCTTAGTGCCAGCTGCCTTCGTGTTTTGGACAACGTTGCCGCAACGTTGGCTGTGGCCCGACTGTGGCTATGTTGTCTGCTGGCAGTTGGCTTTGTAGTGCGGTCCGTGCTTAATGCCGATTCTCTTGTTGTTGCTGGTGTTGTTGGCGCTCTTAACTTGGCTGTTGTACACTTGTCTAATTGAAAACGACAAGTGGAAACTTCCGCGCATTTCAATCATATGGCGACTGGCAACGACTCAGTATCAATTTCATAACTCGCTTCGTGTCTCTCCATGACGAAACGAAAATAAATAAAATATATACCTTTATGTATTTGTAAAAAAGCCGTTGAGAACCTATTTTCTATCTATATATATATGGTATATTTATATATACATATACATATATCATTTGCAACGTAACTCCCACTTGACGTCGTTGCGTCTACGGGTTTCCGAACTTTGGTACCAGTTCGATTATTGTGTGTTCGGTTTTGTTTTTCTTCCCTGTATTTGTTGTTTTGTCTTTGGCGTTATCAGCTAATGTAAGCTTAACTGAGATGCGAGCGTGACACGACTTTAAAAAGCCATAGAAATTAAACAGATATTTATTATCAATATCGTTTGCTTGCAGTTAGGCACAGCGAGAAGTTAGATCAAGTTTATTATTCCAAGCAGCGTGAGGAGCATGGAGTGAGCGAGATGAAACATATGCTAATCATTGTATGAGAAGTCTGTTTGGAATCTTAAATTGGAAAAAAACAAATCCGATTGAGACACGCTCTCAGACTTTCATTGATGTGACATTAGCGATTGAGCATGGCTAATTGTCGGGGATGTATTATACGATTAATATGAGCTAGCATGACTTGACACAGACTTTTACGATTGTTAATAAACACTTAATACAAAAAAAAGCAACAAAAAAAAAAAAAAATAATTTGTTGAACTGTCTAATTAACAATTCATTTTTCAGTCATTAATAAGAAGTTTTTTAGCAATAGAATAGTCTTGAATAAGAACAAAACTTTAATCCAATATTTACTCATTATTTTATTCATTATGAATTTTATGGATTTGAAAATTGTCACTTAAAAAAATTTAAAAAAACATCCCATCAATCAAAAAAGAGTTATGCATTGATCGAGGCAGATTTATCTGCGCATAATATTGCATCTGTAAATTGTATCGCCTCACGCGCTCATCTCTGTGTTGCGGACATTTGCCTGCGGCGTTCTATTGATTCCACTATCGATTCGTATGGCGCCCCATAACGAGCCTCTTCAAGCCAAACACAGACATAGACGCAGACATAAACACGCACACACACACACGCATATCACGCGCGAAATTTGAGACTGGCGTTTGGCAATTGGAGCAGTTTTTATTTGCATCTGTTAATTACCGTTATTGCCTTTTTGCAATAATTTATGGCTCTCTTCTTATAGGCGTCCGCCAATGGAACGAACCGACAGAGACGCGTCCGCCTGAAGCAACGTTTGCGCAGCAACTAAAACGTTGCCTGGCTAAAAAGAACCACTCAATAAATAGAACAGCAGCAGCAACAATCTGCTGCTCTTAGCTGAAAAAGCAACTGTTGCTGCTGCTGCGGCTCTGTTGCGCTTGGTGATACCCTGCATGGACAGCAAGCAGGTGGGGGATATTGGGCCATCACTCAATCTATATCTATATCTATATCCATACCTATATCTGTATCTATATCTATATCTATATCTATATCTATATCTATATCTATATCTATATCTATATCTATATCTATATCTATATCTATATCTATATCTATATCTATATCTATATCTATATCTATATCTATATCTATATCTATATCTATATCTATATCTATATCTATATCTATATCTATATCTATATCTATATCTATATCTATATCTATATCTATATCTATATCTATATCTATATCTATATCTATATATCT